TATCAAAAATCTCATTGTGTAAGTATTTTGTCAAAATACCAATAGTCAATGCTACAGTATTGTCGCAATATCAATATTTTGTATTGTAAGTATTTTGTTCAAAAATTTTGTGATAATTGATTTTTCTTTTCCCCAGCTCTACCTTACAGTGGAGAAAATGCAAGGCAGAACTGTATAAGCTGTCCTGCTTGCTACTTTCTGCGCACCACTGCCCCTTTGCATGCGGCTGGTGCCTTTTTTATTTATTTATTTATTTTTTGTCCCTGCCACTTAGACAATGAGTCCACCAATAAGATACCCTCATCATCATGTTTCTGGTTATCTGTGGTGTGAAAGGAGAAGCAGGACAGTCAAGTGTTGAAGAGTAAAAATTTTTGTATTGGCCACCAACCACTTGCTTCAAATAACATTAGGAACATTTGATGCTCACTTTGCACCAGTATTCCAAATATCTTTATATATTTATTAGGATTCTTAGGTTGGGTATAACTGCATCAAGTTTTTTTTTTTTTTTGAAATGCTTGTCTCCAGTCTCAACATTGGGCATGGCATGTTTACCTCACTAAGCACTCTCAACACAAATGAGTCTAGAACTTAAAAGGATACCATGGCATTAGGACTGTTACAAACCCAACACTTTCCCAGTGGTAGCACCTATTAGGTTCAATGACTAATTCAACTCATGTTAATGATGTGTAGCAGCAGCTGACCTGATCATGTGTAGATGGAATTTGATTTAATTTGGATTCCATTTAGTTGAATAGATAGAGTTTAGACTCATGTTGTGCCTTGAAAATGACAAAGAGCCTCTGAGTGTAAATGTCAAGGTATCCTTTTAAGAGTTTACTTGAGTCTTCAGTCTAACCTTCTTATTGACCCTTGTTCCTTCTGAATTTGCATTGGTCAATAGGGTGACAGAGGAAGTATGGGAATTCCTGGGAGAATGGTGAGTGACTTGGGCTTGTTGATTTACATTTATTATGACATGGCCGATGACAAATCAACATATCAGTTATTTTACACCTGATCTCCCCACATCAGCAGTTTCACTTCTTTTGGCTGATCAGAGCTCCTTTAGGTGCAGGTGGGGGTGTACAAAAGCTCTGTTTCTAACAAACACTTACCAAGCACTTAACAAAAAGTACACAGCACTCACTCTATTTCCTCATTACTGGTGATACAGAAGGAAGTCTGAACCTTGTTTATCACCCACAAAGCAAGGTTGCACGCTGTCATTATCTGAACAAAATAAAACAGGCTGCAGTGAGTCTCTCGATGAGATATTTCAAAATAGCAGGTTTGTGCATTTAGTTCTTCTAAAGCAAGTTCAGGGGTTTAGTGTTGCTGGAGCTCACAGGAGCAACACTCCATGACGCTTTTTTTTTTTTTCCGAGTGAGGATTGGGTTCCTGGTCAAAATTAATATATATACACCGTATTTTTCCAAATAGTAGCCCGGGCGTTTATTTCACAAAATCGATTTTGACCCCAGGTGTTTAAAAGAACCAGGCGGCTATTTGCTCAAGGCTTTTTTTTTTTTTTTCCACCGACCTGCACCAGGCCGTTATTTGGTTACAGTTCCTGTCCAGTATGTTTTTTAGTGCAAAAATACTGTATAAGGTAGGGGTGAGTTTGTGTACAAAAATCTCTAAACGTTTAGAGTGGGTAATTTTTTTTCGTGTACACGGGTTTCACCACTGGGTGGTGCTATTGCATTATACCAGTAAAGCCCCAGTTATCCGAATACCAACCGAACGGGCCATTTAACCAACAGTTACAGGCCGCCACACCGAAATATCGCCATTCCGATGGTCCACCATCCCAAATTCTGAGTCCTGACATTAAGCTATGGCGAGCCTGTAGAAGCTGTATTCCCCATGCATGTCAGCGATTTTCAGTAATTCAGGCTGACATTACCTGTTTTTCAGTGAACTCTTCTGGTAATTCTATTAAAAGGCATGGCATATAGGTCCACAGTAACTTCCATCCACGGTGAGAGAACATGGAATTGTGTGCGCTTTTACGTACGCGGGTCAAGGCAATCACGGATATTTGATGTGGGAAAGATGTAGCCAGATGTATTACCTGCTTTAGATACGTGGCTGTCTGTCCGTCCGTCCGTCCGTCCGTCCGTAGAACGAGTCATGTGCACCACTTCACCACCGACCCGTGCGTAAAAGCGCAAACGGTCCCTCAAGGAGGGACAGCCATGAGGCAATGAATGAGGAAATAATCACCCGGGCGTTTAATCGGACCGGTGTTTAATACGCAAAATGGGGTCAAACCCCTGGCGGCTATTAGGTGCCTGGCGGCTATTAGGTGCCTGGCGGCTATTTGCCACCGGGCGACTATTTGGAAATATACGGTGAAGATCCACTCATTAGTAGAAGTGTATGTTATATAAAACCTAATGGAATGGACAAAGTTGTTACATTGAAATTTAAGGTGTGCTGATGGATTCACGTTGTCAACTCATGCATTGAGTAATATTACAAGTTAACGTTCCACCTTAAGCAGTCAGCCTAGTGAATGAAGTTATTTTTTTCTCCGACTACAGCTGACTACAAATCATCCTTTTATTTTCTAGTTACAGTCTACTAATAAAACTCTTCAGGGTACAAACAGTAGTTACATGAGCTTCAAAACCAGCCACAACCCTGACCAAGAGTAACAGTCCGCTGTTGACTAATTAATGGACTGCAGTGTTCACAGCTCCACCTTTTAGTACAAGATCTGTGTGCTAGGTACCCCAACAGAGGGGTGACCAAAAATGTGATGGTACGGAACAATTCTATTGGTACCATCCACAACTTTTCACAGTGGAAATGGGTGGGACAAATGACACTTGTACCATCCTAGTTCCAGGAATCCTGTGATCCAATGTGCACCCCAATTTTTTGCCCATCTTCAACCTAAGTGGAGGTCTTAATCAATGGAAATAACCAGAAGCGCCTGTGGTGATGTTTGGGGCCTTTAAGTAAATCATTGATCATATGAATATTAGAAGTGCAGTGCTGTCATTGTTGACCACTTGTCATGAGTCCGCTTTAAGTGAGCATGGAATTGCTGATAATATAACATCATAGACGTGTAAATTGTAATATAGTTAATTGTTGTATTAGTATACAAATATGGAATACAAATGGTACCACCGCTACAGATACTCAACACAACACAATGCTGTGATATGTGTAAGGGTTTTTAATGAATTACAGTGTGATATGATAACATATATTCCCTCATTTTACTACAGCAACTATCAGTGCCCAGAGTTCTCAAGAAGCCTCTCAGCTTAAAGTGATAGTTCAGGTTTTTGGACATGAAGTTGTGTGAAACGCTGACCATCTGTAGCTCTGATGTGACGGTGTCACTACTCTCAACGAGCCTCCTGCTCTGAGAAATTGCCCGTAGCTTACCGGAGAAAAAGTAGTTCTGAAGATGTACGGGGGACACGTAACCAAAAGGTTTTAAGCTACAAAAAAGTATGCATGTGTTTTGTTAGACTATTTCAATAATTTTAAAACATCTCCGCATTACGTCAGACCTTGCTATCAATTGGGACTATTTTCTTGCCAGTATCACTCCGTCGTGCAGGCCCGCAAGACAGCACGGCAACTGAAATCAATAAGACAGTTCATCTCCACACCGTGCAGGTGCGCAGGATAGCAACGGCTAACAAAAACTTCCATCGGCTGTTTCCAGCAGAGAACCAGTAGGCTATTATTAGTGAGGAAAAAGATGTACTAACCCTATATATACCTACTACTACAGGGAATAAAAACATCGCCGGCTCCCAGTTCCATCGGTTTCCTGTTACAGATGTAACCCGTAGGCAACTTTGGCTTGTGTCAATTGGGATGAACCTCGCTACCAAGCCGGCGAGGGTGAAGCAACTGCACGTATGTCAGGCTCACTTCAGCTGCCCACAGATCCCGACAGACAGAGAAAATGCAATTTCCGCACTGCTGTGCCCAAAGAGAATTATATTACCTAATACCAGTCTATATAAAGATGTCTGTAACTGATTGTCTGTAAAACAAAATGTCTGATTGAACTAATAGCTTGTTGTGTTGTGGAGAGTACATTATACGCGGCCTCGTTTTACCGTAGGCATTTAGTTTATTATATTAGGCTAACTGCTAAATCCGTGACATGAGTAATCAGTCACATAGAAATGTGAATTCATATGTGATTACGACCAGTCTCTGCTTTGTTCTGGTGGTGAGTTAGCCAAAGTTGCCTACGGGTTACATCTGTAACAGGAAACCGACGGAATTGGGAGCCGGCGATGTTTTTATTCCCACAGCTGGGGAAATCACAAGTTCGCACCATTCTGGTATTCCTCTGTTTACCTACAGCAGCTGACGAGGGTGTGTTGTGAGCTTGAGCCGGGGTTCGCGCTGTAGTAGTAGGTATATATAGGGCTAGTACATCTTTTTCCTCACTAATAATAGCCTACTGGTTCTCTGTCGGAAACAGCCAATGAAGTTTTTGTTAGCCATTGCTATCCTGCGCACCTGCACGGCGTGGTGATGAACTGTCTTATTGATTTCAGTTGCCGTGCTGTCTTGCGGGCCTGCACGGCGGAGTGATACTGGCAAGAAAATAGTCCCAATTGATAGCAAGGTCTGACGTAATGCGGGGATGTTTTAAAATTATTGGAATAGTCTAACAAAACATATGCATACTTTTTTGTAGCTTACAACCTTTTGGTTACGTGTCCCCCGTACATCTTCAGAACTACTTTTTCTCCGGTAAGCTATATGGGCGATTTCTCAGAGCAGGAGGCTCGTTGAGAGTAGTGACACCGTCACATCAGAGCAACAGATGGTCAGCGTTTCACACAACTTCATGTCCAAAAACCTGAACTATCACTTTAATATTGAACTTTTGAAGATTAACTTTACACAGTTTGATATAATTTAGCAAAAAAAAAAAAAAAAAGTTAGCTGGGAGAAAACGTGTTGAATTGCTGCACTCTTTAGGGTGATAATACATAATGAGAGTGTGAATTGGCAAATGGCTGGATTGCTGGATGAAAGGATAAAAATGTAGAATGCAAACGATTGTGTTTCATAAAAGACATAGTGATACTGCAATACTCTCATATGCACAGAGACATATTCTATAGTAACTCATCATTCATCTCCTAATGTGTCTTTAAGGCCTGACAGCCGCAGTTATATATGATATAGTCTTTATATATTCATTAACACAGCACTGTCTAATATATGATATAGCCTTTATATATTATACAGTGCTAGGTGTTACTGAAGACAGCTTGTGCTTGGTGTCCCTTTCAGCCCACCCAGGCTGTTGTGTGCAGTGTAAACACTTATTACCTCCAGTCATTTATGTGCAGTCTGTAATTTACAGGGTTACCACTCAATTTGTTTGCTTAGCTTTGAACATGCCCTTTGGATAAGGCCATATTTCAAACAGTTTCAGCCCTGCCATATGTGGGTATTATTGAGGACCTGATATATATTTTTATTCATACAGGTCTCTCCCCTAGCTAAGAAATTCCACAGCATGAAATCCAGGGTCCTTAATTACTAGACAAGGGTTTGAATTTTTTAATGTCCATAATGACTGATTGTGGTTGTTCATAGCAGATATCTATGTTTATATTCAAAGGAGCCAGAAGGGCCTCTAAAACAGCTTTTAGACTGTGAATAATATGAATTACAAACATTAGAATCAATTCAGTATTCAACTGGAATACCTCTACGATAAACATGTAATTGCCCAAAGAGGATTGTATGTACTACATCAAAGGTGGATATGTCAAATTTGAAATGAAAGGCTGTTGGCAAGTTTGTTAAACCCTTTCCCAATATGAGATCTGTGTTCCCCCTCTCAGAGGAAGTGGTGTAGGGTCACATGTTTAACCCTTACTCAAATTTGTTGTATAACAGCGTAACTTAAAAAAGTCCATCTTAATGCT